TTGTTTTTATTCTGGACAGCAAAGTCTTTTTTGTGGCACATTTCCTGTGCAGATTAAAATAGTGCAATTGCTTTCTGATTGTAGATACATGCAATTTGACACCAACTGTTGTAAGAATTACCTGCCGATACCGCAATTACATTTTAGGGCTCCTACAGACTTTTTTTTTTTTAATTTCAAACGGTCAGTCAGGGGTGGACTGACAACTCATGGGGCCCCCGGGCAATAGGGGATCATGGGGCCCCTGTGTCCTTGCCCAAACTCAAAAAAGCCTATGAAAAAGGTACCAGGGGCATCTCATGGGGCCCCCTACTGACCCCGGGCCCTCAGGCAGTGCCCGAGTTTCCGAATGGTCAGTCCGCCCCTACGGTCAGTTCTTGGGTTGAATTTGCTGAGTCACCCAGTCTTGGAAAAATTGGCTTTAATTTGTAATCTATGGTACATTTTTTGTTTATTATTATACAGGATTTATATGGCGCCAACAGTTTGCTCAGCGCTTTACAATATAACGGGAGACAATACAGAACAATAAGTTCAATACAAGAGGGATAGGAGGGCCCTGCTCCTTGGAGCTTACAATCTAGAATTATGTTCCTTACAGTGGAATAATTGATTTCAAATAATTTGGCAATCTTTTTAAATCCCTTTCCAGGCTTCCAGGCATTGACAACCCTTCCAGGGGTTTTGAGAGCTTTTTTACGTATGATGGCACCACACATTATTTGTAGTGATGAGCTTGGGGTTGTTCATATCCTAGTCTGAACCCACATTCCCTGCCGTGTGGGCGTGTTTACATGCAGTTGTTGGACGGGGAATGTACAGTGACAGCTTTCTGGCTGTCTCACTTTGGTAGGTTCAGACTACGATTCAAACACACCAGAGCTCATCTCTAGTCAATAGAAAAGAGAACACCAGACTATAGATAATGAGGTTTAAAGAAGACATGTTCTACCTGTAACATTTCTAGGAGGTTCTAATCTTTGGTATCTAATCTAGAACACTTGTTTGTAATTTTATGGATTTGAAGCAGCAGTGAATGTAGTGGTGTACAGGGGCGGACTGACAAATCATGGGGCCCCCGGGCAATAGGGGATCATGGGCCCCTGTGTCCTCGCCCATGAAATAGCCAATGAAAGGTACCAGGGGCATCTCATGGGGCCCCCTACTGACCCCGGGCCCTCGGGCAGTTCTCGGGTGCTCGAATGGTTAGTCCTCCCCTGGTGGTGTACTTACTTTTTCTGTACAACAGAGCTGCATTTAGATCTTAAAAACCAATACACCATGTCCGTTTTTTATTTGTCTTTTGTTCAAGTATATTACCTTTTATCTATAGGCACTGTTTTACCCTAGGTTCACATCTAAGCGACTTTGTGAACTGCAATTTGTGTGCTGCCTTCTTACACTCAGGGAAAAGGTCCCTGCAGCTTTTTAGAAATCACAGCCCGCATGCGAACTGCAAGTGCAGAGTGTTTGGCGTGCCATTAGGATTAATGGCACATGCACTCATCTGCGGTTTTCAATGCGGGTGGTTGTGGCTGCAGGAACAGGTGTCCACAGATGTGATCCTTAGCCTTAATAAAGATCTAATGTTTGCCTGTTTTAAATTGTTGAAAAAGTCAACAGTTTCCATGAGTTGTATTTTTTTTCTTGACTGTAAATGGCCTCCATGTAGTGACAACTCTTTTCAGTTTTGTTATGAATTCTTGAGTTCTTGTTAGAACCAATAATTCTAAACAGAAGCTAAGGACAGACTTATTTGTTAAAGTGGAATTCTAGGCTATTCCTCTCTATTCTATTCCTAACTAAGTGGACAGCACAGTGGCTAAATGGTTAGCATTTCGGCCTGGCAGTACTAGGGTCGTTGGTTCAAATCCCAACCATGGCAACACCTGCCTGGTGCTTGCATGTTCTCCCTGAGCCTGTGTGGTTTCCTCCAGGTACTCTGGTTTCGTCCCACACTCCAAAGACATGCTGGTAGGTTAATTGGCTCATGTCTAAATGGGCCCTAGTATGTGTATGTATGAATGTGAGTTAGGGACCTTAGATTGTACGCCCCTTGAGGGTTAGGGACTGATGTGAATATATGTAAAGCACTGCGTAAATTGATGGCGCTATATAAGTACCTGTAATAAATAAGCTTAAACCTGCTCCTACCCCCCTTCTAAATCCTATTCGAACTACCCTGTGAAAGGAAGATGCATATACTTACCTATTCTAGGGGTGCTCTGGTCCAATCACATGATCGGCTCCGAGCAGCAGTTTCAAGGTAGAGGATAGACAGCTGACAACAGATGTCCCATAGGAAGCCTATGGGCAACGCCCTGCCCAGCCATTTGAGCATTGTCGGCAATCTCTTCTCTCCTATCCAGCTTGCCGCTGGTGTCAGGAATGGACTTGCCAATAGTGGTGGGACTCACCTGCCTTGTGGGCTGCAGTACCAGGGCTGGCCAGCGGGTGCTCTCAACAACCAGAGGTTCACTTTGGCAATTAGCCATCACCTGGGGCTGATTGCAGGTGTATTTTAGGGATGGCCAGACCTGCAGTCTGTGCCTTGGTGTGTGTTTTTCCATGGGCCCCCTGTACCTTGTAACCTGCATTCCTGTTTCTGCCTGACTTGTTGCTGATCCTGATCCTGACCTCTGCTGACTTCTCCTGTTTTGATCCCTGGCTTGTGACCCTGACCATTCTCTCCGCCTGCTCCTCCTGTACCTACCTGCCCGATAGATATCCACCCGGCCTGTCTGACTGCGTTGTGCTCTATATGTGTATGTACCTGTGTATCTGTATCAGTTTAGGTTTGGGTTTGTTTCACCTTGTTGTATGTATTTGTGTTAGCTTGGGGTTTGTTGTATGTATTTGTGTTAGCTTGGGGTTTGTTGTATGTATTTGTGTTAGCTTGGGGTTTGGTGCACTGCGTTTTTTTTTGTTTGTATTGTTAGTCTTAATTATACCATATCTGGAGCCTGTGTTTCCCTGTGTCAGTACACACATCTCTGGTCACACCCGCATCCCTGACAGCTGGGGAGATAACGTGACTGGACCAGAGCACCCTCAGAATGTGTAAGTATAAGCATCTTCCTTCTACGGGGTAGTTAGAATTGGAGTTAGGTGGGTGCAGGTTTAGGCTTGGTTAGCATGTGCCGGTGAAGTCAGTGGCTGCAGGGACACTGAATATCTCCTAAACAGTGCAGGTTTAGGCTTGGTTGGCGTGTGCTGGTGAAGTCAGTGGCTGCAGGGACACTGAATATCTCCTAAACGGTGCAGGTTTAGGAGATATTCCTTGTATCTACAGGTAAGCTTTATTATAAGCTGTAGGTACAAGTGTCCAGTGGGACTTTACTTCCACTTTAACAGTACATTTTCAACATTTAAATACTATCCTCACAAATAAAGTGCTGCACATCACATCGGTATTTAAAAATAATTTTCTGTCTCACCCAGGGAACATGAATGTGACTTTTACTTTTTCTGCCCTTTTTATTCAGGCTAGTAATAATGACATAACTCAGGCTGTAAGTTTTCTAACTGACGAATGTGCCAAAGAGCCAGAGGAAAACCCTGATGAACCATCTGAAGATGGTGCCACAGTCAACCAGACAAAATCTGGTAAGTGACGAGCTTCCTGACTCCTCCCCTTTTATTGGAGCGTGAACACTAGGCAAACAGCCAAGTACAAAATACATATACAGTGTGAGTCATTTTACCTGCTAAAAAATGTGTACAGTATATCTGTCCATCCAACTGATGAGGTAATCCCTTCTGTACTCCTATCAGCATTTTCCATATCAATTCAATTGTATGCAGCTCTCACTCCTGCCCTCCCTCTCTTAGTCTGAGGGCTGATTACAAGAAGCAGATACCAGGTCGAGAGAAATTCAAGTACTTACACTAGTTTAATTCCACACTTTGGTCATGCTACACACTCCCCAAAAAATGTCGTCATTGTACACATGTGTAGCATGTCTAGTCTCTCTGCCCTGTTGCTGGGACCTCCCCTCCTGGTATACAGCAATTATCGGCTTTTAATCATAGCTAGGATTGCTGTATACTCAGAGAAAGTGTTGGGAGCTGTAAAAGAAAAAAAAAAAAAAAGCAGTTTGAATTAGTGTTTTATAAACAGCGCTGCTCAGACACATATGGGTAGATTCAAAGTAACTTAATGTTACTTTTGTATCATTCTGTTCATTCATCTGCTGATCAAACAACAAATTAACTTAGATCGGCAAATAAAGCCTTGGTTCACACTAGCACGATTTTCTGGCAACATGTAAAATTGCAGGTCAAATGAAAATGCATAGATTTAAATGGGTACTATCTTAATTGAGTCGCTGTGACAAAAAAAATACTTCTTGCAGAGTCTTCTGCTGCACGACTCCCATTGACTTCAATGTAAAATTACCAGCAAATCATACATTTGCTTAATTACATCCTTGTGAGTCTTCGTGTGCATTTTTTTCTTTCAGTTAGAAGAGGGGAAGAGGGGCTTTCTCAGCCTGCATGCTTGAGCTAAGGGTGGATGGATTCCAGGAAGTAGAAGTAAATCTACATGAATAATCTTCCCTTACTCAAGATGGCCATAGCTACAAAATGCTAGAGGGGTGGTTTTCAGCGTAATCCCTCAACAAAATAAAGCATGTAGACATTGATAGATGGGAGAGTTTAGTTCTGCTTTTAGGAGATATTTGGCAGTTAGACATGGCAGATTTCTAGAATGATACAGTGTGGGCCTGTACTGCAGACCAACAGCTTTGGCTCAAAAGAAGCCATCCCTACTGGGATAGTGATGCCAATCTGAAAATGATTCATAGTTTCCCTGAATACAATGGTACCTTTTTTTCAATTGTCTTTTTAACAAGGAAGCATTACTCTATTGTATAAATCTTAGTTTACTTCCTTAGAAAGACGCAGTGCATGTAGCAGTCCTGTTTATGGTACATATACTTCATACTGTTATGAAATGACAACTCCTGTCTTTGATGTTTTACCATTTTTATATTTTCCAGCTGTGGTAAGGTTCATGAATGATAAAGATGAGCTTCAGACAGCCATAGCCCTCAGCCTACAGGAATCTGCAATCCACCAGGTAGAGAGGAACGATTCCAGAGACAGGTATGTGCGCTGAGATTTTAGTAAGCAACACATTTTGGCCCCAAAGAAATCCCATCACTTGAGACTTGCTGACCAACTAGGCTGCACCAAGTATGAGAAAATCTTACCTTTGTCTTTCTGCCGCATGCTAAGGTTCTATTCACATCACTGGTTAGTGGTGCACCGAAATGAAAATTCTGGTACCAAAAGCAAAAATTCAAAACGCACTTGGCCTAAAACCGAAACTGAAATGCTCAGTTTTTAAGAATGAATATATATATTTTGAAAAAAAATACACTGATTTAAAAAAAAAAAAGACAACTTTTTATACATTGTGAACCTTTACTTAGTTTGGGTCAAGCTGGCTCAGAACGAACGTCCCTAATCTGTCGGTCCGCTGGATGTTCGGTAATACTGTATGTACGGTAGCTTCGGCTACATACAGTATATTGCACTGAGCCAATCACGGCAAGCGATGTATTCTATTAATGAATACAAAGCCTGCTCGGATTGGCAGAGGTTGTGACATCATCAGCCTGCTTCTACGACTCAGCCAATTCGAGCAGGCTTTGTATTCATTAATAGAATACATAGCGCGCCGTGATTTGCTCAGCGCGGTATACTGTATGTAGCCGAAGCTACTGTACTTGTATGAAGCCAGTTTCAAACTGAAAGTTGTAATGTATCACAAGATGTCATTGATGAACTTATGATGTCAGAGGATGAACATGATGTGGATTTGGAGGGATTTTAAGTACCAGTAAGTCCTAACCATTTTAATTAAATCTTATGTTTTTAAATGGTGTTGCCTCGGAGGGGGGGTAGTCTTATACGGTGAGTATAGGCCAAAACCTATGTTTTGACTGGAAAATTAGGGGGTCGTCTTATTTACCAAGTCTCCATATACGCCAGTAAATACAGGTGTGTATGTATATATATATATATATGTGTGTGTGTGTGTGTGTGTGTGTGTGTGTGTGTGTGTGTGTGTGTGTGTGTGTGTATATGTATATATATATATATATATATATATATATATATATATATATATATATATATATATATATATCCCATTTTTTTTGGAAAATATGAAAGAGGATGTTACAGCAAGTAAATGGATACCCAATATGTCATGCTTTAAAATTGAGCATGCTCGTGGAATGGCGTGAAACTGCGGTACTTAAAAATCTCTTTAAAAATTTCTACAGGTTACCATTGTAAAGTTACAGAGGAGTTCTAGTGTGAGAATTATTGCTCTTGCTCTGACGTTCATAGCGATAACTCACGTGTGTGGTTTGAACACCTTTTACATGTGTGGGCGTGGCCTACGTATGCGTTCACCACTACATGTGGGGACGGGAGCACTTTAAGCTTTTTTTAAAAAAAATGTATTTCATGGTTTTTTGTTTTGTTTTTTTCACTCTTCCTATAAAAAAAAAATGTAATCACTTTTATTCTTATCACAAGAATGCATGCATTCCTTGTGTTAGAAATAATTAAGAGACCGGTCCTCCTTTATGGAGAGATATGGGTTCAATAAGACCCCACATCTCTCTGCAATGTAAAGCATTGGATCCAAAAAAAAAAGCATTGATCTAGTGCTTTACCTCCTCTTCACGCCGGCCACACACAAATGTGCGGCCTCCCGACGTCTGGGCCTAGACACCGAGCGGCCGAACATTTGCATGCAAGTAACAAAAAACATGTGCTGAGAGCGCGCACCCGCACGCTCCTAGCACACATGTTCGATACTCACGGAAAGGTCCCGGTCTGCTCTTTCGATCGTGACCTTTCCCGATCATGTGACCGCCGTGATGACGGTCACATGATCCTTAAACCCCGCCTATCGGCTTCTGAAACTCTTATAGGGCCTGGTGACACCTGCAGGAAGGGGTTAAAAAAAATCAAAATGACCGGAACAGGAAGTGACATCGCTCCAGTCCTCCAAGGGCATAGAATGGTGCCCATCTTTCCTTCACTCATCTCTATGCCCAGCGGCAGGATCGATGGTTTCTCAGGTAAGGCTGAGAACTACGTGTGGGCGGTGGCGAGGGGGGGGTTTTTTTCGGCACGTGCACCGTTGCCCTTTTTACATTACGGCCAGGGGTGTTTTTGGCCAAAACGTTTCTGCCACCAAAATCTTGGTGCATCCCTATCACTGCTCGGTGCGGTCTATGTGCAGGGCCGCCCATCCATTTCAATGGGCTGCCCTGCCAACAGAATTGCAGGGGAAAAAGTCTCTGACCCGTTCAGTTATTTGGTGGTGGTACACACTGACCATTTGAAGGAAGATTATCCACATTGCATCTACAGCATTGTTTTCCAGTATTATCACTGATTGTGAAGTCTTTCTCTTTATATGGACTTTAATATATGTCTATATGGACAATAGGTTATTGTTTTGACACTATTCCACAGTGTTTCATGTATACTTGTGGTCAGTATATTTTGCTCAGTATTTAATTTACTTTTCATTTTTTGATTTCCTTTCAGAGGTATGAGGGTCTTCATGGGGCATATGTATGTTGTATGATATCCAAAGGTTGATTTGACCATATTTCACACTTTGAAATCATGGAGGGGTCTGACATTCACATTGTAGGTGCATTCCCACTCTGAGAGACAGAATTTAAAAAACAAATTCAAGAAATCACATTGTATGATTTTTAAAGAATTTGTCTTGCACTGCTGAACGTAAGTATTTGAACACCTGAGAAAACCAGTGTTAATATTTGGTACAGAAACCTTTGTTTGCAATTACAGAGGTCAAACATTTCCTGTAGTTCTTGACCAGGTTTGCACTGCAACAGGGATTTTGGCCCACTCCTTCACACAGATCTCCTCTAGATCTGTCAGGTTTCGGGGCTGTCGCTGAGCAACACGGAGTTTCAGCTCCCTCCAAAGATGTTCTATTGCATTTATGTCTGGAGACTGGCTAGGCCACTCCAGAACTTTGATATGCTTCTTACAGAGCCACTCCTTGGTTATCCTGGCTGTGTGCTTCGGGTCGTTGTCATGTTGGAAGACCCAGCCACGACCCATCTTCAATGCTCTGACTGAGGGAAGGAAGTTGTTGCTCAAAATCTCACAATAAATGGCCCCATTCATCCTCTCCTTAATACAGTGCAGTCCTGTCCCCTTTGCAGAATAGCACCCCCAAAGCATGATGTTACTACCCCCATGCTTCACAGCAGGGATGGTGTTCTTGGGATGCAACTCATCCTTTTTCCTCCAAACAAGACGAGTGAAGTTTAGACCAAAAAGTTCTACTTTTGGTCTCATCTGACCACATGACTTTCTCCCATGCCTCCTCTGGATCATCCAGAGGTCATTGGCAAACTTCAGACGGGCCTGGACATGTGATGACTTGAGCAGGGGAACCTTCCGTGAAATGCATGATTTGAAACCATGACGGTGTAGTGTTCTACCGACCGTGACCTTTGAAACTGTGGTCCCAGCTCTCTTCATGTCATTGACCAGCTCCTCCCTTGTAGTTCTGGGCTGATTCCTCACCTTTCTTATCATCAGTGATACCCCAGGAGGTGAGATCTTGCATGGAGCCCCAGTCCGAGGGAGACTGACAGTCGTCTTTAGCCTCTTCCATTTTCTAACAATTGCTCCAACAGCTGATCTATTTTCACCAAGCTGTTTGGCAATTGCCCCGTAGCCCTTTCCAGCCTTGTGGAGGTCCACAATTTTGTCTCTGGTGTCTTTTGACAGCTCTTTGGTCTTGCCCATGGTAGTAGCTGGTGTCTGACTGACTGTGGGGTGGACAGGTGTCTTTAACCACTTCCAGACCGGACACTTTTACCCCCTTCCTGACCAGGGCAATTTTCAGCTTTTAGCGCTATCACATTTTGAATGACAATTGCGTGGTCATGCAACACTGTACCCAAATGAATTTTTTACCATTTTTTTGAGATAGATAAAGCTTTATTTTGGTGGTATTTATTCACCACTGGGATTTGTATTTTTTTTGCTATGTAAATGAAATGTCCAAAAATTTTATTAAAAGTGTTTTTTTTATAAAATTTTGCAAATAAATAATATTTCATCATAAATCTTAGCCAAAATTTATTCCGTTATCTTTTTAGTAAAAAAAAAAAAATCCAAATTAGTTTATAAGCAAAAATTATAATTTTTAACTTTTTTTTTACATTTTTATTTAATTTTTTTTATATTATTTTTTATTTTTATTTTTTTTTTTTACATACTGTCACCCTAGCAGTACAGTGTCACCATGGTGACACTGTACTACTTGTGAGGGGTGATAAAGATTTTTTTTTTTTTTTTTTTTTTACACTGATTGCTTTTACACCCATATAGGATGTAAAAGCAATCATTTCTCTTTCTTTCGGTGTGCATTCCTGCACTCATTGAGAAATACAGAGTGAGCTGTGATTGGTCACAGCTTGTCACATGGTACAAGGCTTTTGTGAATAGCCTTGTACCATGTGACCTCTGTGATCATTCACAGATTTCACACATAGTAAGCAATGATGTCACAAGTGACATCTTGCTTACTACTTTGCATGTGATCACTGATTGGCCAATCAGTGATCACATGATCGGGACCTCGTACAGAGGTCCCGTCCGACGATCGGTGTTTCACTGTGTCCGGAGGACACAGCGGGCACCGGATCGCGGTGCTGCGCGCTCCCAGGTAGCGCGCACAAGCAGGGTGCGGGGAGGCCGTTTATAGACGGCCACCCGACCCTGCAGTGCCACCGTCCGGCCGTTTATATACAACGGCCGGTTGGGAAGTGGTTAAAGAGCTCAGCCAGGTGCTACTAAGTTAGATTAATGAGTGGAGTAGAGGTGGACTTTTTAAAGGCACAGTAACAGGTCTTTGAGAGCCAGAATTCTTGCTGTTTCTTGGGTGTTCAAATACTTATGTTCAGCAGTGCAAGACAAATTCTTTAAAAATCATACAATGTGATTTCCTGATTTTTTTTTTTTTAATTCTGTCTCTCAGAGTGGGAATGCACCTACAATGTGAATTTCAGACCCCTCCATGATTT